TCCGCGGGAGGCATGGTCATGTCTCTCGAAAACGAAAAAAAACATTTTTTTTCTGTAAGAGGCACGATTTTGCTTCCATGAGAAATAAGGTCGTGCCTCTTGGAAACGACTTTCGGAAAGAAAGAAAATGTGTTCCCAATCTGTTTTTATTTCATGAATTTTTTTGTCAAAACCTATCAATATGGGATATAGCTTTGAAGGTCTCGACGCGAGGGATCCAACGGTGAAAACGGCTCGAGATTTAGACGCATGATTTAAGAGATAAATAGTTTTGAACAAACGGGTCTATGAAAAAAAAAGGAAAACTCCCTGGTTGCGACAAGTGGTGCATGTGATATTTGAAAGGAGTACTCCTCAATTAATGATTTCGGGATCTCGGTCGATCCTAGCTTCCCTCGAAATGAAAACATTCGATGTGATCTTCTCCCTGAGGAACGTTCCCCCAGATATTAAGGTCTATTATTTTACCTTTCCGTTCATATATCTTTTGATAATTGCCCAATTTTTTAGTATTGAAGATTTACTTTTTGAATCGTTATTTTTTTGAACAAAGTTTTGAAAAACAGATACCAGACACAATTGCCGACGGCGTGCAGTTTTCTCTGGCAAGCGGCGGTGCCCAACAATCCAATTTCCGTGAACTAAATTTTTTGAGTAAATTTTGGAATAATTTTATTTCTGTGAACTATTTTTTTAGTAAATTTTGAATAATTTGTGTGAACTAAATTTTGAATAGTTTTATTTTTGTGAACTAATTTTTTTTCTGAGTAGCCGACACCGCGGCCCAACAATCCCAGTGCGATCAATTGTCTGACCAATTCGGCCGCATTGTAAGTTAGCATGGCCCGCTCAATTTTTGCAGGGGAGCCCGACCCATCTCACGCAAAGGCCCAACTCTTGTTTCTCCTTTTCTCCTTAAAAAAAAAGAGATCTCTGGTTTATCCAAAGGGGAAACAGGTGGCGGCCGGCGCCGCAGTCGAGCCGTGCCTGCCAGCCGGAGGCCGTCAATCGAGCTCGCCCAGCTACCGCTCACATTCTCCGCCGGCTGGGCGAGCTCCTCGTCTTACTCCGGCACACCGCCTCGCTCGCGTCTCACCGGGACTCCAGCGGAAGCTATCTGCCACGGTAATCCCTTTTTGATTTCCGAACAGGAATGCTGAGTTATCTACTACTCCCTCCGTTCTCAAATACTTGTCTTTCTAGGCATTTCAAATGGACACAACATACGGATGTATGTAGATATATTTTAGAGTGTAGATTCGTTCATTTTGCTTCGTATGTAGTCACTTATTTAAATCTCTAGAAAGACAAATATTTGAAAACGAAGGGAGTAGTAAGTAATCATGGAAGTTGCGTGATTAGTTTCTGGATATAAGCAGCCTATATGCGCATCTCTGTATTATGGGGAAAAGGGGATAAAATCACAGCAATGACTGGGTAAGATTTACTATATAACAGCATTGTCAGGAAATGGCTGCAAGATCCGGTTGCGGTATGTTTCTAATTAATAGCATTACAATATGGTAAGATACAGATGCAGTATTTACAGTACTGCAAAATCCCATGTAGTTCAGTATGTAATCGAACACTGGGCAAGCTAGTGGCAAGGCATTACGCTTTATGACGCAGATCCAAGTTATGTTCCCTCAAACGTGTAATGATACACACAAAAACACACAATGCGTGTTCATGTGTTCGTCGTGTTTTGTGGCATGGGGCGATTATCAGACGACACAAAGGGCTTGGGGGGAATCTGCAGGTTCTGCAGCCTCCCAGTTAACATGTTTACCACCTTGGTCATCGACGGCCTATTCTTTGGGTTCCACTGGATGCACCACAGCCCCACAATACTCAGCTGTCTAATCTTGTCTTTGTCTTCTGCTGTCATTTCCAAAGTAAGCTCCCATTCCTGCCAAGAAATCACTTTCTCGTAGATCCACTCAGGGAGGTATACCTCGTCCTGGATCTCAACACTTGGGTCTGAGTTCCTCCTTCCACTCACCATTTCCAACACCAGCATGCCAAAACTGTACACATCTGACTTGTATGACACCCCTCCAAAGTTCCGAGAGTATAGCTCCGGTGCGATGTATCCCATAGTGCCTCTTGCTGCAGTCAAGGTAACGATGCTTTGGTCCCTTGCACACAGCTTGGCAAGGCCAAAGTCTGAGATCTTTGGGTTGAAGTTGTAGTCCAGCAAGATGTTGTGTGGCTTGATGTCAAAGTGGAGAATTCGCTGGTTGCAACCTTGATGCAGATATTCTATCCCTCTGGCAATGCCTAAAGCAATACCTAGCATTTTGTTTGGTGCTAGGAGTTGTCGAGAAATGTTGGAAATATGTGTGAATATGTATTTCTCCAGTGACTCGTTAGGCATATATTCATAAATCAGAGCCCGTCTTGTTCCTTCAGAGCAAAACCCCATGAGGCGGACGATATTTGCATGGTGGATTAGTCCAATGGTTGCAACTTCATTAATGAATTCCTCACCCTCTCCTGTAGAGCTCTCTAGCATCTTGACTGCTACAGGCACTCCATTAGGTAGTTCACCTTTGTATACACTTCCAAATCCACCCTGGCCGAGTTTATCCTTGAACCGTCTTGCTATCTTCTTAACTTCAGGGAAAGTGTACCTTGTGGGTTTCGATGTGCCATATGCCTTGAGAAACATTTCGACCTTCTTATTTATCTCTTCATTATACCTTGACTTTAAGGAGAGGTAGAGCGTTGCGGTTACCACCAATGAAAGAGCTATAAATGCAGCTACAGATGATGCTGCTGATTAAAAAGAAATGAAATTAGTGAGATGCATTCAGATAAGAAGTCATGGGTTCCTAGCGCTTATTGCAATGAGAAAACACAATAAGAATTTCATTTAGAATGGGAAACAAATAAGAGTTGCATCATTACCTGCAATTGCGATGACATGCGTGCCTGCATGTAGGAAGAATATCATTAGTTTTGCCATGGATTAATGTAGACAAAAACAGAAGAACTACTTCATTGCTTGTACAATGTATGTTTTGAACAACTAATTCCTGATTCTGAAACGAGTTCTCGATGGACATAGGGAGGACCTAAGATATATTGTAGCTTCTCCTGTTGGCTTCAGGTATATTGGACCTAAGATATACGGTGTTATATTGCTTAATGCATTACCTTGTTATCTTATAGCTCCACAGTTGTTTACTCATCTTCAGTTCTAGAAGACTAAAGCCATCCGAAAAATGGTCAATTAAGGTTTATCTCTTACTGTGTTTTGTGAGAATTTTACAAATTAGTCAAGTGTCACAAGGTTGCCCATATAATTTGGCACTTGCATCTCTTGACTAATTTTTTTGGGTGGGAATTTTCATGGATGTGAACCTAGAGACTGTATGTGCTTGAACAAGTTAACAATTTCTATGATTTGCGCTACAATTTTGTTTGCGAAATAATTTAACTATAGGTGAAACTCCTGTCAGGAGATTAAAAACAGTTTAACATCAGAAAATAAGAGATTGACAAACTAGTAGATGGAGAAACAGAAAATCTGCAATGTTGTTCCAAAATAAATTGACAGGCCATAATGATTGGGATTTCAACTAGGGAAAGAAACAATACCATGGTGCTGGCAGAATGCTTGACGCCTTCGTGAGCTGAATCCACAGTGTCGACCTTCGTGTTCACACTGTTGGCAGACACGGGTAATGTTATTGAGGTGCCAAGTGAATGTTGTTTCACCAGAGTTGAGGACTGCATTTGCTTTTTCATTGAAGGTGAACTCATCTGTGTTTTGGCCATTTTTGTCATAGGTGAATGGTATGGAGATGCCTTTAGAAACGGCTATGCAGTCCCGTGGAAGGTCAGACATGTATGCGGAAGCTGATGCCAAATACCAGAATTGGCTAGCATTGTTACTGAGACAAGAGGCTGGGCCTACGATACTATATTGATCCACAGGAGTGAAATCTCTTGAACAACGTACCAGGGTCGTAACTTGTGATGATTGAGGTTGGTTGTACACATCAGTTGTCAAGTTTGTTGAGATGAGCTTCTGAAGAGGGCATTGTGTCGATGGTTTTACAACCGGGATGACGTTGATGACACGGTGCCTGTAATAGATCTCAGTAACTCTGCAGGAGCCAAGAACATGGTGATCCAGGATTGTGTCCTGCCCGGAGCATGATAACTGCATGCCAGGTGCGCCGCATGATGGAGGGTTGGTTGAAAGCCGGAAAGGGAACCGGATCTCTGGAGCTTGTTTGCTGCACCGATGCGATGAGCAATTCTTGAAGAAATCTTCATCATCTGATGCTCTGCCCACACAGGACTCATAGGCCAGAAGAGAGAGCAGCAGCAGCAGTGCGACAAGAAATTCAGGCAAGTCCATGAAACCTGACGGAGATGAGAAGGGAGTGAACAAAAGAAGGCCAACAGTATTAGAAATGACCCCCTGTTTGCGTTTCTCTCTAAGGAGTTATTTACTGGCTTTTAATTTGTGGTAGATGGATGCTCATGGTAGGTGCCTGCCACTGAAACTTGTGTGGTATTCTATGGCTTGGAAAGCTCTGTTTTTTTGGAATCAAATGCTATCACTGTCTAGACTATTCTTGTGACTAAAACATCATAACTTTTTCTTGTCATTTTGCCAGGCGGCCGCCCTCGACAAACTTGTTCACATTCAGCTGCAGGAAACATGCTAAAAATCCTGAAGCTGACATGTTAAAGCACCATACACAGAATTCTGAATTCTGACAAGTCTTGTTGACCTGTCGTTGTATTTGAGTGACCGGCGAGGAGAAATTTCATCTGCCGACTGAACTCTTGGCATACAGATGAGGAACCGTCCAAGTGCACCACTTCTGGCATTCAGCCCCGTTCCAGTTGTCATATTCCCAGTGACAATCATGTGGCTAGAGCATAGAGCAAGTGGCTGGGTGTGATGAGGCAACGTTAACTTTGGTGGCAGCTTGCTTTGTGAACCAATATGCAATTCTGTGAACCAGTAATCATCTGCCATGGCTACTCCCAGTGCACTCCACCGGTGGACTGCGCTCCGAGCCTTAACCTTCCTGACTATGCTTGCAGTCCTTGTGCAGGGAAGAAATCACCGAGGAGATGCTACCTGTCCGTGCTTCTCGTGCGGCCCTCTCAGGAACGTGTCGTTCCCATTCCGCCGGGCAGGTGATCCAGCAGGATGCGGCGACAAATCGGGCGAGCTAGCCTGCGCCGATGCCAAGGCCATGCTTCGCATCGCAGATGCAACGTACTACGTGACCAGCATCAACTACACTGATTCCACCTTCCAGATCATCGACACCGACCTGGATCTCCACAGCAATTGCCCCCGTCTTCCTCGGTGGAACCGGCGACCCCATGAATATCTGGACGGGACGGAAGAACACCTACTCTGGCTCTTTGACTACGACAACATCGGAGCCAACTTGGCCCTCGTGACGTACAATCTGGCTAGCTTCGTTGAATGTTCCCAGGAAGTGAGGAACTACGGTATGTACATGCCCGTCGCTTGCATGAGCACCAGCGATTCTTTTGTCTATGTGTTAACCGGTCCAGGTGCCTCTCGTGTCGAGAACCTTGAGCCTTGGTGCCGGTATCTGGCCATGACTCCTCTGGGTGGTCCGGAGAATCGTCTAGATATCGGGGCGACCGCGCTGGAGAACGCAAGCTACACGGATGTGGTGAAGTCCATGAGGACCGGGTTCGCCGTTCGGTTTACACCGTTCACGAGCTTTAAGGACTGCCTACTGCGCCTCATCCGGTGAGTTCTGAGATCTAGCTGTTACATGTTTTAGCACGTGCATGGATGCCCACTTGATTGCCCTACATCTTCGCCCTTTTTCTGCAGCACATTTCGCGAAGAACCAATGCAAAGAGGATCCATAATTTTGAACCCTGATCTATATATTATTGAATGTGGAATTGAAGCAGCTCCAGCACCCTACGTCCGTGCGTGCCTGATAATATTACTATTTGTCACGAGGACTTTCAAGTGGATTAATGGTACATCAAAAACTTCTGTTTATTTTATAACTCCTACTGGGTTAAAATGCGTCCCCACTGTTTTGAAGGCCTTTTCGGGCTGTTAGATTTTCATATATATTATTAACGGACTCCAGTTTAAATTATTTTCTTTCGTATCCTTTGGATGGTAGGAACGGTGCTACCAACTAATTCATGTGGATTGATTTCTTACGCTGCTAACTGTTCCTAATTCATGTGGACTTCTTAAATTTTGCTAGTAGTTTTTTGAATTTACTATTTACGTGGATGCTCGTGGAACCATGTTTAGCTTTGTATTTTTTATATACATTGTTGTTACATTTGTATGACACATGTGTGTTGTCATATCTAGCTGTGCACGGTTATAAATACTTAATTACACTTCGTAATAAAAAAATTATGCAGGACCATATAGATTCCTGTGGGGGTACTTGGCAGTTTGGACTTTCTTTGCTTACAAGTATTGGAAAACAAGGATAACAATTGATGCAGTGGAGAAGTTTCTCCGCATGCAACAAATGCTCACCCCAACTAGGTATGCCTACACAGACATCACTGCAGTTACAGGTCATTTCCGAGATAAGTTGGGCCAAGGTGGTTACGGCTCCGTGTTCAAGGGTGTGCTACTTAATGACTTCCATGTGGCTGTCAAGATGCTAGCGGGTAACTCTAACTGCAATGGAGAAGATTTCATCAGTGAAGTTTCCACCATTGGTAGGATCCACCATGTTAATGTGGTGCGTCTTGTCGGGTTCTGCTCGGAAGAAATGAGGAGGGCTCTCATCTATGAGTACATGCCTCGAGGTTCTCTCGACAAGTACATCTTCTCCGCCAAGAAGAGTTTCTCTTGGGACAAGCTCATTGATATCGCTTTGGGCATTGCCCGAGGAATCAACTACCTACATCAGGGGTGTGAGATGCAGATTCTCCACTTTGACATCAAGCCCCACAACATCCTTCTTGATAGCAATTTTGTCCCCAAAGTTGCTGATTTCGGTCTGGCCAAACTATACCCAAGGGACAACAGTTTTGTGCCATCAAGAGCCCTACGGGGAACAATCGGGTACATAGCTCCTGAGATGATATCTCGGAGCTTCGGTGCCATATCGAACAAGTCTGATGTTTACAGCTTTGGGATGCTGCTGCTGGAGATGGCTGGAGGAAGAAGGAACGCCGATCCGAACGCAGCGAACTCGAGCCAAGCATACTACCCTTCATGGGTGTATGACCGGCTAATCGAACAAGAACATGTAGGTGAGATATCCACTCATGTTGATACTGAGATGCATGAGTTGGAGAAGAAGTTGTGCATCGTCGGATTATGGTGCATCCAAATGAAATCCCATGACCGTCCAATGATGAGCGAGGTTATAGAGATGCTAGAAGGAAACGCCGACAGCTTGCAGATGCCTTCCAGGCCATTCTTCTGCGACGAAGGGCACATCCATACGGAGGATACTTACAATTTGTCGTCCGAGTTGACTGAAATCTCCGAGGAGGATATGAGTGAAAATATTGATGTGTGACGTAATGTACGATGAAATGATGCAATTAGCTCACGAGGAAATGAAATTATGATTGTAGTTGTATCAATTATGAAATAATCTGTTGTGTTTCCCTGCGTGCTGTGTATATGTTCAGGCCATTTATATATGATATTTGGCTTCAGCTGCTGCTGATCTGTGTTTTCTGTCATGCTCAAACTTTTGTATGAACTATGATGCTTTGATGAAAAAGCTGGGCCGTTAGCACTAAATATTTGCTAATTAATTTTGTATGAAATGTTTATTCAAATTTGGTGAAAGCAATCATGTTTTCAGGTACTAGGCAGATGTTTGGAAGATGAAGAACCGTAACTCAGAAACCCCGAATAGATCCTGGGTTTTTTTTCTCAAATATGCACGAGCGTGCATATTATATATTAAAGAAGAAAGGCAATAGAATGCCTCCACCATGGTTTACAAGATTTGTTACAACTCACTCCTCACTGAAGGAAATATGCCCTAGAGGCAATAATAAAGTTATTATTTATTTCCTTATATCATGATAAATGTTTATTATTCATGCTAGAATTGTATTAACCGGAAACATAATACATGTGTGAATACATAGACAAACAGAGTGTCACTAGTATGCCTCTACTTGACTAGCTCGTTGATCAAAGATGGTTATGTTTCCTAATCATAGACATGAGTTGTCATTTGATTAACGGGATTACATCATTAGGAGAATGATGTGATTGACATGACCCATTCCATTAGCTTAGCACCCGATCGTTTAGTATGTTGCTATTGCTTTCTTCATGACTTATACATGTTCCTATGACTATGAGATTATGCAACTCCCGTTTGCCGGAGGAACACTTTGTGTGCTACCAAATGTCACAACGTAACTGGGTGATTATAAAGGAGCTCTACAGGTGTCTCTAAAGGTAAATGTTGGGTTGGCGTATTTTGAGATTAGGATTTGTCACTCCGATTGTCGGAGAGGTATCTCTGGGCCCTCTCGGTAATGCACATCACATAAGCCTTGCTAGCATTGCAACTAATGAGTTAGTTGCGAGATGATGTATTACGAAACGAGTAAAGAGACTTGCCGGTAACGAGATTGAACTAGGTATTGAGATACCGACGATCGAATCTCGGGCAAGTAACATACCGATGACAAAGGGAACAAAGTATGTTGTTATGCGGTCTGACCGATAAAGATCTTCGTAGAATATGTGGGAGCCAATATGAGCATCCAGGTTCCGCTATTGGTTATTGACCGGAGACGTGTCTCGGTCAGGTCTACATTGTTCTCGAACCCGTAGGGTCCGCACGCTTAAGGTTTCGATGACAGTTATATTATGAGTTTATGAGTTTTGATGTACCGAAGGAGTTCGGAGTCCCGAATGAGATCGGGGACATGACGAGGAGTCTCGAAATGGTCGAGACGTAAAGATCGATATATTGGACGACTATATTCGGACATCGGAAAGGTTCCGAGTGACTCGGGTATTTTCGGAGGTACCGGGGAGTTACGGGAATACGAGGAAGAAGCAATGGGCCTTAATGGGCCTTAGTGGAAAGGACCAGGAGGTGGCGCGCGCCCCTCCCAAGCCCAGTCCGAATTGGACAAGGGGTTTGGGGCGCGGCCCCTCTCTCCCTTCCTTCCCCTCTTCCCCCCTTTCCCCCCTTCTCCTAGTTGGATTAGGAAAGGTGGAAACCTACTCCAACTAGGAGTAGGAATCCTACTCCTCCTTGGCGCGCCCACAAGGGCCAGCCGGCCTCCCCCTTGCTCCTTTATATACGGGGGCAGGGGGCACCCCATAGACACAAGTTGATCCACGTGATCATATTCTTAGCCGTGTGCGGTGCCCCCTTCCACCATAGTCCTCGATAATATTGTAGCAGTGCTTAGGCGAAGCCCTGCGACGGTAGTGCATCAAGATCGTCACCACGCCGTCGTGCTGACGGAACTCTTCCCCGACACTTTGCTGGATCGGAGTCCGGGGATTGTCATCGAGCTGAACGTGTGCTAGAACTCGGAGGTGTCGTAGTTTCGGTGCTTGATCGGTCGGGCCGTGGAGACGTACGACTACATCAACCAAACGCTTCCGTTGTCGATCTACAAGGGTACGTAGATCACACTCTCCCCTCTCGTTGCTATGCATCACCATGATCTTGCGTGCGTGTAGGAAATTTTTTGAAATTAGTACGAAACCCAACAGTGGCATCCGCGCCTAGGTTTTATGTGTTGATGTTATATGCACGAGTAGAACACAAGTGAGTTGTGGGCGATATAAGTCATACTGCTTACCAGCATGTCATACTTTGGTTCGGCGGTATTGTTGGACGAAGCGGCCCGGACCGACATTACGCGTACGCTTACGCGAGACCGGTTCTCCCGACGTGCTTTGCACAAAGGTGGCTAGCGGGTGACAGTTTCTCCAACTTTAGTTGAACCAAGTGTGGCTATGCCCGGTCCTTGCGAAGGTTAAAACAGCACCAACTTGACAAACTATCGTTGTGGTTTTGATGCGTAGGTAAGATTGGTTCTTGCTTAAGCCCGTAGCAGCCACGTAAAACTTGCAACAACAAAGTAGAGGACGTCTAACTTGTTTTTGCAGGGTATGTTGTGATGTGATATGGTCAAGACATGATGCTAAATTTTATTGTATGAGATGATCATGTTTTGTAACCGAGTTATCGGCAACTGGCAGGAGCCATATGGTTGTCGCTTTATTGTATGCAATGCAACCGCGTTGTAATGCTTTACTTTATCACTAAGCGGTAGCGATAGTCGTGGAAGCATAAGATTGGAGAGACGACAACGATGCTACGATGGAGATCAAGGTGTCGCGCCGGTGACGATGGTGATCACGACGGTGCTTCGGAGATGGAGATCACAAGCACAAGATGATGATGGCCATATCATATCACTTATATTGATTGCATGTGATGTTTATCTTTTATGCATCTTATCTTGATTTGATTGACGGTAGCATTATAAGATGATCTCTCACTAATTATCAAGAAGTGTTCTCCCTGAGTATGCACCATTGCGAAATTTCTTCGTGCTGAGACACCACGTGATGATCGGGTGTGATAGGCTCTACGTTCAAATACAACGGGTGCAAAACAGTTGCACACGCGGAATACTCAGGTTATACTTGACGAGCCAAGCATATACAGATATGGCCTCGGAACACGGAGACCGAAAGGTCGAGCGTGAATCATATAGTAGATATGATCAACATAGCGATGTTCACCAATGAAACTACTCCATCTCACGTGATGATCGGACATGGTTTAGTTGATTTGGATCACGTAATCACTTAGAGGATTAGAGGGATGTCTATCTAAGTGGGAGTTCTTAAGTAATATGATTAAATTGAACTTAAATTTATCATGAACTTACTCGTGGTAGTATTTTGCAAATTATGTTATAGATCAATAGCTCGCGTTGTTGCTTCCCTGTGTTTTTTTGATATGTTCCTAGAGAAAATTGTGTTGAAAGATGTTAGTAGCAATGATGCGGATTGGATCCATGATCTGAGGTTTATCCTCATTGCTGCATAGAAGAATTATGTCCTTGATGCACCGCTAGGTGACAGACCTATTGCAGGAGCAGATGCAGACGTTATGAACGTTTGGCTAGCTCAATATGATGACTACTTGATAGTTTAGTGCATCATACTTAAATGGCTTAGAATCGGGACTTCAAAGATGTTTTGAACGTCATGGACCATATGAGATGTTCCAAGAGTTGAAGTTAATATTTCAAGCAAATACCCGAGTTGAGATATATGAAGTCTCCAACAAGTTCTATAGCTAAAAGATGGAGGAGAATCGCTCAACTAGTGAGCATGTGCTCAGATTGTCTGGGTACTACAATCGCTTGAATCAAGTGGGAGTTAATCTTCCAGATAAGATAGTGATTGACAGAATTCTCTAGTCACCATCACCAAGTTAGTAGAACTTCGTGATGAACTATAGTATGCAAGGGATGACGAAAACAACTCCCGAGCTTTTCATGATGATGAAATCGATGAAGGTAGAAATCAAGAAAGGGCATCAAGTGTTGATGGTAGACAAGACCACTAGTTTCAATAAAAGGGCAAAGGGAAGAAGGGGAACTTCAAGAAGAACGGCAAGCAAGTTGCTGCTCAAGTGAAGAAGCCCAAGTCTGGTCCTAAGCCTGAGACTAAGTGCTTCTACTGCAAAGGGACTGGTCACTAGAAGCGGAACTGCCCCAAGTATTTGGCGGATAAGAAGGATGGCAAAGTGAACAAAGGTATATTTGATATACAGATTATTAACGTGTATTTTACTAGTGTTCGGAGAAACCCCTCGGTATTTGATACTGGTTCAGTTGCTAAGAGTAGTAACTCGAAACGGGAGTTGTAGAATGAACAGAAACTAGTTAAGGGTGAAGTGACGATGTGTGTTGGAAGTAGTTCCAAGATTGATATGATCATCATCGCACACTCCCTATACTTTCGGGATTAGTGTTGAACCTAAATAAGTGTTATTTGGTGTTCGCGTTGAGCATGAATATGATTTGATCATGTTTATTGCAATACGGTTATTCATTTAAGTAAGAGAATAAATTGTTGTTCTGTTTACATGAATAAAACCTTATATGGTTGTTGGAAATATGCCCTAGAGGCAATAATAAAAGCATTATTATTATATTTCCTTTTTCATGATAATTGTCTTTATTCATGCTATAATTGTGTTATCCGGAAATCGTAATGCATGTGTGAATAATAGACACCAACATGTCCCTAGTAAGCATCTAGTTGACTAGCTCGTTGATCAACAGATAGTCATGGTTTCCTGACTATGGACATTGGATGTCATTGATAACGAGATCACATCATTAGGAGAATGATGTGATGGACAAGACCCAATCCTAAACATAGCATAAGATCGTATAGTTCGTTTGCTAGAGTTTTCCCAATGTCAAGTATCCTTTCCTTAGACCATGAGATCGTGTAACTTCCGGATACCGTAGGAGTGCTTTGGGTGTACCAAACGTC